TAGATACATTCGACGAGCTGTAGTATTATCCACCAGTTTGGTTTCCGCGTCACAAAACTTTCTGAAACGATTCGGTCTGGGAAGGATTCCTTCGCTGATGGGAGAAGTTATCCGGCTTTTCATCATCGGGGCTTAAGTCAATCAGTTGGAATAAATGAAGACGCATTTATCGGTTATTTGCTTCACGATTAAGGTTATCATATTCCACCGCGAAGTATCTGACCTTCTAACAGCGTGATGATGGGAGACACGACGATTCTATGATTTAACATTTTGTTCACAGATATCGAGCAAGGCTGTGATTTCATAACTGTGATTCTTTCAACAACAGCTTCAACGTCGTGAAACCAGAACAATTCGGATTACGACGTGAGTTGAAACCTAATTCATCATTACGACCGATTTTTAAGGCTTCCATCACCTAGATGTTTTCAACATGAATTGAGTCGACTATTCTAGATTCTAGAATAGTCAACTCAATTCAAGGTAAAAACGGAAATTGTAACATGAAGCCCTGGAACCTATATGAATTGAAGCGACTTAAATTCTTGATTTTCAGGGCAGCATGGAAGGATCAAAATGGATTGTATTATTTGCTGTCCTATTTTCGGCCCCTGCAGCAGAAACTCAATTGAATTTCTTCTCTCCATTCGTGAGTACATCGTCCACTCTTGGGATTTTTTAAAATTTAAAGATCAATGGAGTTATTCAGTTGGACAGTTCAAAGATGTCACACCTATGTATGGAATTATGAATAAAAAATTAAGGATCACGGCCCCGTAAAGCATGTTTATGAACACTAGCGTGAGAGCTGAAGTAAGCACATGTACTTAAATCTGCTTGCAGAAAGAATATGCTAATTTTTTTCTAACATTACGGTGTGGCAGTAAGGAGCGGAAGAAGGAAAAGTCACATCAATCATAATTTTTTTTCGGATCTGTGAAAGGTTTTGTTTGTTCATATTAAGCCCGCATCGGCTGCGATTACTCAGCGCAAGAGATGACAGTCATCCTAACTGAGGGCCAGACTTCCTCAGTTCAAATCAATTTTCCCTTCTTTGACATTCTGTAAAAAATGAATATATCATCAGCAAGAAATGAGTTCTTTCTGGTGAATTCAGTAGGAAAGTAGAAATTTGGTAACTCCGGGGTAGCTAGTGCCAATTGCTGAATAGAAAAAAACCGGTGGTCGAAATTTCCGGGCCGCTTAAGCCGTCTTAACGTGGTTTTCCGCCTAGTTGATCTTCCGTACGCCGAATTACGTCTCCTGTCTGGTCAGGAAAATCCGGTGGGACGCTCCTGACTCCTACACTGCAGTTTTTCCTTTTAAAATTTGGGAAGTAATACAGATCAGAAAATGCATGAGAAAAATACTGTTCCGCTCAACATTAGGACGAGTGATAATCTGCCATCATTGCATCACAGAAAAAAAGAACATTTGACTAGTTTTCAAGTTTTTTTTTACAGGTATTACGTTCCGGCGAACACTATTTCACCCTGCACAACAGACTTCAAGTAGAACACGCTCTCCGAATACTTAACGCCCTGCTCCGGATTCAAAATCAGGCCAAAGGAATAGACGAATTGAGGGCTTACCAGGAATATTACGACGAGGAACTTCTCAGGAGACTCTCAAAATTACTTAGCATCGACTGGGCGCATTACGTCAACATCAACGCAGAGACTTTCTTGGATAAGGTACATTTTTGGGCTCAGTTTAAATAAATCAAAAGCGAACTTGTCCGAAAAGAAATTAGTGATGTGTAAGAAAATAAGTTCCAACATGAAAAATAACAAATATTTCACATAACGGAATTCGGGGGACCAAAAAAATCCTCGCGTAACTAATTTGTTTCGGACGGACAACTTTTTTTTGGCTACATGCAGTACTGTACACTACAAAAGGCATGAATTTCAGCGAAATGTGAAGATCTAGGTTGATTATGTTTATGACACGATGCAGTCCATGCTTTTCTGCAGATCAAAGCGGCAGAAAAATCACTGCCTTTGGATCTAAATCCAAAAGTTTTCTTCGCTTCTGCTCAAGCGTCAAGTTTGCTTTCGACCAAATGCCTGTATTTTCTAATTTACAAATGGGGCAACCTTTCGTGGTAACGATTTCACAATTACAGTAATTGAAACTTATTAAAACACATGCTCATATTCACCCTTCTGTAAGCAGATCAACTACGAACTACGCCTTTTTTAATGATGTACAGTATATGCATATTATTTAATAGCCGAGAACAAATGTAGTCATTTCAATGAAACACTATGGTGACCTGTAATGAAAAGTTCAACCCTCAAACTTTTTGAAAACTACTTATTTAGCTAGAGGCACAAGACGAATTCGATGCTTGGGTCAAGTCCGAGTGGAAGTACAACATCTCATCGTTCAATCTCTCAGAACTGAACGAAGCAGTCGGTGAGGAAAAGCTCAAACGGTTCTTCAACAAGGTTTCGGGTC